AGTCTAGAAAGGTCCTTTGTATCTGGGAGGACTAGAAGATCTGAAGTATAAGTAGTATCAGATGGAGTCTGAAAGAGATCAAGGGAATATCTGGTGTCTGTGAAAAACAGATGGTGTATAAAGAGTATGAGGTGTCTGGTGGTGTATGTGGTGTATGTGGTGTCTGTGGTGTCTGTGGTGTCTGGTGGTGTCTGTGGTGTCTGGTGATGTCTGTGGTGTCTGGTGATGTCTGTGGTGTCTGTGGTGTATGTGGTGTCTGTGGTGTCTGGTGGTGTCTGTGGTGTCTGGTGATGTCTGTGGTGTCTGTGGTGTCCTGTGGTGTCTGTGGTGTCTGGTGGTGTCTGGTGATGTCTGTGGTGTCTGTGGTGTCTGGTGGTGTCTGGTGATGTCTGTGGTGTCTGTGGTGTCTGGTGGTGTCTGGTGGTGTCTGTGGTGTCTGGTGGTGTCTGTGGTGTCTGGTGGTGTCTGGTGGTGTCTGTGGTGTCCTGTGGTGTCCTGTGGTGTCTGTGGTGTCTGGTGGTGTCTGTGGTGTCTGTGGTGTCTGTGGTGTAGTGGTTTTGGTCTTTGCCGTCGCACGCAGGAGACCCGAGTTTGATTTCTGAGTGGGAAGAATTTGTAGGGAGTATCGTGGGTCTTTCTGCTGGGATGTTGTATCCTCCTCCCTCGGCATGGGGTGCCCCTGACAGATATGGTTGAAGCCTGCCTCTTGAATGATTTGAATTATGTCTATGATGGGGGGGGGGGCATAATATCTACATTTTAACTTGAAAAACAGGAGCTTTTAGGGAAAAAGCATGTTACTGTTGAAGGGTGCTGCAGGTTGTAAGCTGGTCAGTCCAGGCGCTTTTCTTTTGTGCCAGTTATTTTACGCAATCAAATCTTGTTGTGTTAAAGCCATACCAAAGGACTGATTGTGCATTTTTTACATGTTTTTTTTCCAGCTGGGCAGACGTATAAAAGAAGAAGACAACCGTAGTGACATAAAAATCTATTTGCTTGCTTTTTTGCAGGGGAATGTATTTGATGTTGTTATGAACATTTCTGGTGCATATATATGTATTGGATTTTTTTCCCCCCTTCTCATATGAGATTTGCTGACTGCTTTTTTTCGGATCTGCAGTCATTTGGTGCAATGCTGTTCTTTTTTTTTTCCCCTGTTTATGTTTAGAAGTGTGTAAAGGAGATTTGTACTATTCTATTCATACTTAGCCAAATGTACTGAAAATAGTCCTGTTTGTTTTCAGACTTGTTTCACATTTTTACACGTTTCATCCTAGTCGTCCTCTCCGTGATAAATGCATGCAGTTAAGTTAAAACTTTTTTTTTGTCAATAGTGTTTATTTCATTTATTTTTTACCTTCTTTTGCTACCGTTTCCGTTTTATATAAATATATGTATCTTGCCAGTTACAGTGTGTTTAGTGCCAGTAGTGGTGCGCCATGCGGTCATCAACCGTGTTGCCTTTTTCTCGTGCAAGCTCTCTCTCTGTGTGTGTGTGTGTGTGTGTGTGTGTGTGTGTGCGTGTGTGTGTGTGTGTGTGTGTGTGTGTGTGTGTTCCAGTCAGCAATGGTGTTACACCCTGGCTAGTCATGTCCTACATATGAAAGAACACAGTACACTCGGAAGACAGTCTATTTAAATATTGCAATTCTCTTTACGCAAAAAAAAAAAAAGGTTTGACAGTGCCATAGATTCTTTGTTTTTGTAAATCATTTCCTTCTTCTAGTCAAGTTCGTGTGCATAATTAAGGTGCTCGGGATTTGTGAAGATTTATATATATGCTATGGTACAAATTAAAATGATTTTTTGTTGTTGTTTTTTTCCACCCCACATAATTTATTGTCTCGAACACGTTTACCCCGCCTCTGTCTGCATGACGCTAACCTGATCTTTAGACAGCGGAGCAGCGGAGAACATGGATAGACTGGACAGTTGTTGTTGTTGTTTTAGTTGTAGCTAGAGAGAACATTACAGGGGGTTTTTTTTCAGGAGGGATAATATTTCATCATAAGAAATTTTCAGTTTCTCCTTCAGGGTCATGGAGGTAGAGTTGGGGTGGAGTGGGGGGGTGGAACCCTTAAGTTAGTCGGGGGGGGGGGGAGGACCCTTTAGTTATTCAGCCATTCCCAGGGTCTATGGATAAAATGAACAGATTAAAGTTCAATAAGTAATCAGGGGTACTGTGTTATTTTCTTTCTTCGAAGACCCAGGATATAAATTTAGAGCCTTTTTAAAAAGTAAAAAAAATGTCTACATCAGTGTCCATCCATGTTCTTTTGCTTGATCCCTTCTTTTGAAAGGAGCTGAGAAGGGCAGAGGGCGTGAACAGTTTTGGTGCTCAAAGTGGGAAGAGACTTTCTTCAATATAGGGATATATTGTACTGTGTATGTTGTCGCAAGAGATCTCATTCTTTATCTCTGATTGAAAGATTTTTTCTCTGGGCTTGCAGAGTGAAACGTGGTGAACCCTGGTTCATTGTATTGTGAAGGGTAGACACAAAGTAAAGGGAAGATGGGACAGACAAGGCAA